TGTATAATTTATTTTTCGCCTACAGCAGCTTTCGGGGATTTCTTTTATAGCAGGAAAACGTTATTGGACAAATTATTAATCGATATAAAAGCGTAGTTTTAAAATTCCGTAGTATAATGTTTATAGTTTGCAATAAATCAGTTACATCTGACGAATCATCAAAGCTCCAAAAGAATGTTCAATTAAGTGGAAAAATTTAACTTTTATTGCTTGGGAACCGATGTCGTTAGAAAAACTGTTGCCTCAATTTCAAGATTATACTATTCTATAAAAAGCGACGGTCTGGGATGAAGTATTTAATATATTTACATTCGGATCTTGTATCCAATGAAGCAGACGTTCTCCCCGATTTGAGTTGAAATTGTACAAATTTATAGCATACAATTTTCATGAGTCTGGTTCTACTTTTTCTGTACGACACCGATACACAAATTGCTTCGGCCAATCTATTCCCGAATACTTTAAGACAATTTTATTTCTTTAAGGCAATTTAATTGAGAATTCCTAATGCTTTTACAAAACTGAGTGACAGTCTGGATCAGTAGTTGCAATATTGGAAAAATACATTGATTTGATATAAGTGAGCTTAATTTTAAGTCCAGTTTTATTTCCAGGGTTCCAGTATTATTAACTCTCATGTTCCAATTGACACTAGATTCTGCCACTCGAGATTTAACTGATTGCGTATTTCAAGCTATATATAGCACACTTTCTTGTTTACTCAGTGAAATCCATCTTGCAATAACAGAATTTCGTACGAAACAAACGAACAATATACATACATAATATAATACCTTCTCTCATGCGTTCTTCATGATTCCCTTTACCGAAGTTTGCCAATTTGAAGCAGATTTTCAATGCGACGTAGAAGTAAATTGAAAACTTAGCGTATTTTTCATTACAAATTTAATTGAAAAGGACAGTCTCCAACCGATGGAAAAACAATTCGATTGTGATTATTTATTTTGGCTTTGGTGACTTAAACTAGAAGAACTTCGAGAAAGGCGCTCAAGTGTATTTCAAAAGGGTTTGTCTCCAGATATGGAAATATTAGTTTTTATATTAGTAAGTTTATTTAAACATCGCTGACTAAAGGAAATGTAAAACATAAAACAGTTTGGTATTTATGGAAATTTCTAAAATTGTTTTCGATGAAACCATGAATTTGGAATCGTTTTACTGAAAAATCGATGGCCTTTTATGACATCCATAATATATTTACATGGGGTCTTAGAAAATGCCAATTTTGCAGCTGAAATACTACGATCTCAACCAACTCACTTTTGTTTAAAATTGAATGATTTCGAAGATACTAATCTTCGAATTAGTATCTTCGATGGCAATTTTGTAAATTGCGTTACAACAGTGATTAAGTTATCACTACCCTAACTTTAGTTCATAATTATAAAAACATTCATCCTAAATAATATACCAACAATTTTTTTTATAATATTCGAAAAGGCAAGGGTAAAAATTGGGTCAAAAAAATCGCAACATTTAAAACAAAATGATGTTTTTTAGCCAGACCATTTTTTTAGTTTTGCTTTAAATGTTGAATTGGCCAACGTAATTAAGTTACGAAACGAAGTATCTTGAGTTGAAATGTTCATCTTGTGATATGCAATTCATAACGAAATGGCAGATTTCAGTTTTGTCCCCGAAAAAAACTCTTTGTCCAAACATTGTGACATTACATCATGCTTTAAAAATATATTTGGTAAATATACAGAGTGTCCCGAAATTAGGTGGCCAAACTGAAACAGTGAAATCTGCTCTCGAAAATAATATCAATTTTTCAAATGAACGTGTATCGAAAAATGCTCCTTAACGGAGCTACGCCTTCTTGAAGAGGGGCCCAGTAGTAGGATTTTTGGAAATTATTTCTAAACGGTTGAACTTCAAAACGTAAAATTTTGGAACTGTATTAAATTTGATATTCTGAATCTTGATCTGAAATTAAAGCTGTCAGAATTTCCTTATAGACGTATCATTTGGGGGAGTAGAGTTACAAAAAAGGTCTCGCTTTTTTCTGAGACTATAAATCAATTTTTTTTCTACAGATGCTGAAAACCTGAAGGATTTTACGAAGAAAAGGTACTCGCTCTTTACTTCGCTCAGACGCACCATTTTCCCACTAAATGACTAAAAATATTACTGCTATCCATACACATTTTATATTTTAAGTTAATATTATTGCAGTTCAGTCAGGAAAATAAGTCACAATAAAGTTAAAATTATTATCGACACTAATTTACTGGAGTAAATATTCAAACAAATTTGGTGGAAAATCGTTGGTTCTTAAATCATGTACCCTTTTATAATGGAAAGGATGCAATCCTTGATTTTGAGTCATTCTTCCGATATGAAAATATGTTTTAAATTAAATCATGTCTTGTATGGCCTCGTGCAACATTTTATTTGTTTTATCCTTTATTCTTTTTTTAGTAATCAAAAAAAATGTACGAAGACTCACTAGTTTTTTCATACTCAATAAAAGTAAATTAAGAGTACCTTTTCTTCATAAAATACTTCAGATTTCCACAATTTGTAGAAATAAGATTGATTTATAGTATCAGAAAAAAGTTAGAGCTTTTTTTGTACTTCTACCCCCGCAAATTATACGTCTATGATGAAATTCTGGCAGTTTTAAGTTCAGATCTAGATTCAGCGTATCCAAATTACTAAAGTTGCTAAAACTTACGTTTTCAAGTTCAACCGTTAAGAAATAATTTGCTAAAAACCCTACTACTGGGCCCCTCTTCAAGAAGGCGTAGCTCCGTTAGGGAGCATTTTTCGATACATGTTCATTTGCAAGATTCATATTCTTTTTGAGAGCAGATTTCACTGTTTCAGTTTGGCCACCTAATTTCGAGACACTGTATATTTACCAAATATATTTTTAAAGCATGATGTAATGTCACAATGTTTGGACACAGGGTTTTTTTTGTATATCCCGTAAGCTCATGATCAAAAGGGTACTGCGATATTCTTTGGATCAAAAGAAGACGATATCACCTAACTTTTATTGGCAAAAAATGTCTGGCTCCTCTGCTATTGACGGTGAAAGTTCTTCAAAAAATTTATCTTTTCTGAAATATCGGGAGAATGGTACGATGTATTTTGGTGAAACTCGCTGTGAATTTGTTCTTATGAAAGACTCACATTTTAATGAAACAATGAAGTTCAGCCGTTTTGGACAAGTGGTGAATCGGTGGTGGTCGTGGTACAAAAACTACCAGGACTTTTGATTTGGTGAATGAAATTAACTCATTTTTTGTGGTTGGTGCAATAATAATGTGTTCATAATTTTGTGCTCTTTGCAAAATCTTGTAGCATCTTGCTCATACATGATTAGTGCATCAACCGAAAAAAAATGAGTTGATTTCATCCTCCAAAACGGCTAAACTTGATTGTTTTATCAAAATATGAGCCTTACATAAGAACCAATTCACAGCTAGTTTCACCAAAATAAATCGTACAAATCTCCCGATATTTCAAAAAGATCAATTTTTTGAAGAACTTTGACCATCAATAGCAGAGGAGCCAGACATTTTTTGTTAATAAAAGTTAGGTCAGATCGTCTTCTTTTGATGCAAATATTATCGCAGTACCCTTCTGATCATGAGCTTACGGGACACGCTGTATTTTACGAACGTAACTCGGGTTTAATCATAATATTTTAGACTCAGGAACTTGTAGTAGTATTTTTCCGCTTCTTTTACCAAGTATGTGTAAAGAATGCAATTTCAGTTCAGCGAATTCAATGTTCTAACAATCAACCAGCAGAAAAGCGGAATAAAAAAATGCTTCTTCGATGATTCATTGTACGATTTTCTTGTTGGATGATTCTTTGCCTGCCTGGCAAATAAGTGATGAACTCAGAATAACGCATTAGATTAAAAACATTTCGGAACAAATGTCAGTTGTCTTTGCAGTGAAAAATAGTCAGTACATTTCCGGCAACTGTTCTTTAACGTTGCTTGAATTCAATTTTAGAATATTGTGAATTAAAGGGCCGATCAATTCTGTTCACCTGCTATATCAACTAATCGGTATCGTTGTCATTTAGTGATATTTAACCCTCTTTAATCGCTACCAAAGCTCTAATCATAGAATTTCAATTCGATTTAAAAATTAAGCATTTCTTCAACTTTCAACTCGTAGCTATCATGTTTGAGCAACGATTCAAGAGTAAATCGCCTCGTGCTGAAAGACCAAATTTCCTCTGAACTTGCAGTTAATAGCAGAGCTGCAAGAATATTAAAATTCGTCGTCTTGACACTAGTTCTGAATGTTAATACACAAGTTGAGAATAATAGTTGAACAGAGTTCCCGTGTCATTTTACATTTTCACTTTTTTATTTCTCGCAAAAATCTAAAGCGGATTAAACAGAATGGCCATTCAAGAATTCAGCAACCGCAGCAAATTTCCGCCAGCTTGTACAAAAGGTATTAGCTTTCTCGAAAACAAAATAGGATTTTATCTTGATTTGTTCCAGCAGATTTTGTCATCTAAAGTTTAATTGGTATACAGCACTAAACCCAATTCAGACTTGAACATAATTAATTTATTGTTATAAAATGATGCCTTGTAGGTATATTGTATTACAATTTGCAATAGAGGGGAGTATACAATCGTTGTCGGTAAAGGAAATTGCTAAAGCAGACAAAAAATGCAGAATAATTAAGGAAAATAGAATTATTATTTGAAAAGTGAACATTAAGTATTGTAAAACAATTAGAACATGCTTGAAGTTATAGTACTGTATTCATGAATATTCAGATTATTCCAAACTGTGCAACACAAAACCGAATATTGAGTGATCTTTTCCTTACACTCCACGTCTCTTGAAATGCCCGGCTGGCACTAACATGTTTCAAAGAAAAAAATAAAAATGGACAATTGCATTAAATATCATCGACTTTTAGCAGAATCGATTGAAGTGCATATTGAAAAGGCATATTTAATGAAATGTTGAAATCTGTTATCTCTATTTCAGTGTCACGAATTACTTCCTGGTGAATTTATCTGTAGCTGACCTACTAGTGACCCTCATTTGTATGCCCAACGCAGCCTGGAGAGCTTATACGGATGCATATAATTTCGGATCCGTGCCATGTAAAATATTTGTTTACCTTCAATGTAAGTAAATTAATAGTAGGAACATTTAATCTAAGATGACATTCAGAACGGTAGAAATCAAACACCCACAACGTTTTCTGGAAACGGTTTGCGGTGAAATTGCAATCAAATTAGAAACTTTGGCGTAATCAAATAAAACAGTTATTAATGAAAGATGATAGTATGAACATAGACTAATTGGAATGGTCCCCTCTTCATAAGAGAGTTTCTATAGACTAGGAAAATACTACATTTAGATTATGGTGATTTTTGCAAATCAATGGTAGCAAATGATATTGAGAATAATAAAAAAGCAAAAACTCCAATATCAACATTTTCTTTATGAAAATAAACGCGTATAGTATATAGGCTCAGATTTGTTTTTTCGGATAGTCGATCTAAAAGCAACTAAATCTAATTAATTGATTGAATGTGAACTTAATTCTTTAATACATAAATTAGGTGAATAGAAGCTTATTAAATAAATGACGACTTTAATAATTCCTGCAAGAGTTTGAGGAGCATGTTGTCTCGCAGTTTTCTTCGAACATAGTCGTAAACACTTCAAATCTTTCGAGCCCCACCGGCCTGAAACCATTCATCTATGAAGATTCAGGCCCTCGGCTTAGATCTTATATCCTCAAGATATTAGAGCATATTATTGTAAAAACGTATAGAGTGAGTTTCTTGTTAAAAAATATTAAAATAAAAATTCTTAAAAACGTTTACAGTTTAAAACGTTTCTTTAATAACGAAATGTACAAAATGTTACAAACAGATCTGTTTAGTTGCAATTTTTTATCATTTTAAATTTGTTATGACTAATGTTCTCATTTTGCATGTTCAAGATTTGCACCGCAAACTTACGCACTGAAGTTTTGAACGTTTCCAGTTTGTGTTCGCTTTAAAATATACCATAGTTAATGTTAGAGTTGCTTCAGTAACGTTTTTTACATTTAATGTATGCGGATCTTTTGGTATCGCGGATAACATAAAACATATTTTATTAAAGCGAAATTGCTTTTTTTCTAGCTCACCTTGAAATGAGAAAAAGTTAGTAAGCAAATGCGAACTTGTATGGATTGCTTTCAAGATGAGAGATTTCAAAGCTTATGGCAAATGGCATCAGTTATTTTAATGCTTTTTAAAGATATTCCAGATATTATTAAAATCATTATTATTAATATATCCATAAGAGTTTTAGTGCTTAGAGACCGTTGTATTCTGAAATCCTGTTCTGCTGATCACCAATCATTGTAAAACACTAAGTTAAATAAAGGAAAAAATATAATGAATTAGCGATTAGGAACTAACAATTTGAGTTACGGCTTTAATCACGAACCTTTCACGTAAAAATGTTTTGCAATAATTAGATTATTAATCGTTTTTCATTTAAAAAAATGTGCTCTTCAACTCGAGCTGTTGCTGAATTTATATGCTTATAAGCCCGGAACAATTTGGAACCAATGTAAGTTATTATAAATTAAATTATAAGTCATATATGGGAAACATTAAGCAATGCGAGTTTTAGGAATAGAAATGAACAGATACTGATTTTATCACTGCATCAAATATCGTTTTTAGTTGGAGCTCACACGACCTTAAAGGAGAAGCGTTACGACCAAAAGATGAATATTAATATCAATAAAGCCACATGCTTGGGGGTTTTTAGAAAACCGTTAATAAAAAGATATATAAAATTAGAGCTTAAATTTAATTAATTCCAGGATGTTGAGCTAACGACTTAGACAGCACAAGAAATGTGTCTCTTATGGGCGCAAAATTTTGAAAACTAAAAACTATAAATTTGATTAATTGAATTATAATTTTTCTTTTTAGGTATTTCAGTAGCAAGCAGTATATTCACCATCACAACAATGGCAATCGATCGCTACTTGGCCATAATCCGTCCATTTGGCCTTCGCTACCGCTGCTTCAATCGAACTTCTACAATTATAATGATTTTCGCATTGTGGACATTTTCGTTGATCCTGTTTCTGCCGAATCTCTGGATCGCAGGATTGGTACACTACTATGGAGATGTTACACTTTGCAGAATGGATTACAGTAATTCACCAATACCGCAGGATGTTATCGGAGTGATTTGGTTCATTTTTATGTTTGCCATCCCGGGTAAGTAAAATGTATACGAAATAGTTAAATGAGAAGACAAATTAAGTAATTAAACAACCCAGCTGATACGTGCATGTAGCCAAAGCAATTGAAGCTATAAAGTCAAAAGCAAAGGCAATTGTGCTACATTAAATTAGCCTTTTAGCGCTTGTTTTGTAAGTATACTCTGTTTTTAAGTATCGTCTAATGAGAATTTTATTAAACAAGAAAATTTCGAACAAAGAACTTTTAGCTGTGATCAAGCGCATCTGCTCAAACCTAAGGACGAATCCGACGCCTTGCAAACATTTTCCGGGAGCAGATGCGATTATAGCAGTTGGCTGCAACTTACATTTTAACACTTAAGACGTCTTTACGAATTTTAAGCAATATTCTTCCAGTTTGCCAATAACAGATAGATCAAAATTAGAGTAGAAACCCACGGAAATTGAATCAAGCATCCCTTGCTATAACGACACATCTAATGTGTGCCTAAAGAATCCAATTTTCTATGCAACACAAACTAAAGGATTTCATAACATTTTCCTTGAAATATAATCCAATCAATAGCAATAAAATATATATAAAAATTCATAATTTGAGGCCGCAATATTCCAACGCTCTTCGAAGCGTTTATAAACAATATTAGTTTAGGCAAATAATTGCCCAGAAGTGAAAAATTAATCACAACAGAAATTATTATTTCTGCCAATTAAAAGAGGAAATCTGCTAATAATTTTTCAAAATTTGCGCTCAACACTATTTTTGTACTTGGAAATGAATATACAATACACTTACCAACTATGCATCTGATGCCAGAAAAATTCCATGTGGAAATTCAAACTGAAAAAAAAATTATATTAATTGAAATCTACTTGTAAAATTATACAATTTAAATTAAATAGAAGCGTTATTTAAGAGGTTTTCCACCTCTCGATTGCTGTTTACGGGGGCAGTTACAGATCTAAAAGGATTAGCAATCAGATTGAGATTTGTTAAGAAATTTTCTGGTCTAAACAAATTTCAAGTTAAAAAAATAGAACGAATCTTTGTTCAATAAAATATCAAAAAGTTTTCATTAATCTTAATCTATTGGAGATACACCAAAAACTTATGAAATTGGATGCACCCAAACGAAATATTTTTTCCTAGCTATTGACTAAGTATCTCTTTGCCATCGATTGAAAATCATGAAACATGCGTTTATTAAGTTTCTCGTGTTTTGTTCTTCCTATTGCAAAGTTATCTCGCTTGATCATTGTTAATTAGGATGATTTTCATTATTGCAACTCATTACATAGGTTTTCTCCACAAATTTTTCGCAATCCATTTGTAAGCAACAATTCTAACTACAGAAATATTTTTTTTATTGTTTCTTTGCGTTCCAAATTCGTACGCTATCTGCAGAAGGGATAGACATAAAACTAGAACACACACACACGATTTCCTATCAGTTTGTATGGAACAGCTAGGAACTTATGAAGAAACATTTTAGCAAATAAGCTTCTAAATAAAAGCGACAGATTTTAAAAAATTATTTGTTAAAAAAATGTAAACAACACGTTTAT